TATCGTTATTGGTTCTGGCGATTTGCATACAACGACTTCCGGTCAGCAGCAAATCACCTTCTTACTCACCTACACCATTTGGAAACTCTCCGGCTCTCCAGCCGCTCCAGCAGGCATCCTGTTCCCGTAATCGTGCCACCTCTCTGATTCCTGGCTCCCTCCGATGGCCGTTCCTCGTAGTATGCACGGGAAACGTTGAAACCAGAAGTCATGGAGCCGACCGTCGCAACCCAGTTGCCGACGCACAGCGTCATCACGGGTCTGCTCTATGTTTCTTACCTCTGTTCGTGTTCTCCATTGTCTGTTGAACACCGCAGTTTGGCTAAAGTTTCATATTAATTCCTTATGTATGTATGAGGCTCTAATTCTGGGCTTTCGGCAACATCTCTGCATATTTGCATGAACGGTAGGCTTTTGGGAGTATGCTCATGAACGTTTCTCGTTCGATTGTTTTACATATGTACTAGAGATGTTCCTTCATACTTATGTTTGCATTGTCTGGCTACAGTACGTTCGGTCATACATTAGTATTGCTTCATGGAGCCGTTCGTGAATCTGCAACCGAACGGTACATTGAGTTTTTCATATGATGATTGGAATTTTCACGCATTCCTGTAAATTTTGGCAGGGGGTTGTAATTTTGGCCACCTGGTGGCCAACTCTCAGTATCACATAGGCATAAGCCCTATTGTCCCGGTCATATAGACTTAGTTAGTTTACTCTAAACTCATGTATACTATATATATTGTGATCAGTTAGACGCTAATCGATGTTTATACACTAAAACATCCAACGAACTGCGTTAATCACACATACTACTATGCACGAATCAATATAGCATACATTTGGTACTGTACTTATAATCACTGCTGGGGAGCTATACTTAACCTGTATGCTTTAAAGCATCCTATTAATTACTACGTATATTCTGGGTTACAAACGAGGACAGGACATGGTGTTGTATTATAAAGGTTTAATGGCTGATTTATGGTATTACAATTTGCATCAGAATTTTACATCCATAAACTTCTCGGTTTAATTCTGTTTAAAGGATTATATGTTTTCTGTACTGTACTCCATATGTTTTAATTCCAGGGTTGAGCGTGTCATTTATGTTATGACACAATGCTATTTTAGAGGTTGCCTATAGCTTGTACTACAGAACTTGGGTCGGTTATCTTAAGTTACGGGGGTCCACGATGTCCCCAATATGTTACTGTCTTCATTACTGGGATCCACGATCGGTCCCACACACGGATACGTTACTTTAGGAATTACGGGCTCCACAGTCCGGCCCACACACATCTATACATTACGTATTCTAACGTCACCTTACGTTCATTTCATTTTGTCACGGTCCTATTTTCCTACTGCATACATGCTCTTACAAAGCACTGACCACCTTCGGTTGGACAGGAGACTATAGCTTATACAACAGAATTTTGCATTTTTGCATCTATGGTCTAGAGCATCTCCTGCCCCCTTTTTAACACAAGTGTGGATGCCTTTTACTTGATTTTTATTAAAGACCATTGGCCCTCTCATTTATCTCCAACAGTGAATTACCCCTCTATGTTCTTGTGAGTGTTTCTCAAGATTCAGTGCAGAGCTCCTCTGACCAACAACTGTTTAGGTGGGTGTGTACATTCAAGGCCATTAGGGGTTATGGTACTGTTTTAGGAGACTGTAGGTATCTATTGGATCACAGGTGGCGATTCGATTTAAGATTCAACCACTATCACTTCACTTCTCTGACACTAATAATTTAGATTATTGTCTCATACTGAGGGGGTCCACGATCTGGCTCTCACTATGCTTTTTCAAACCCTATTACATTCACATATTTTGGTTCTATGTCTATGATGATTCGTCAGTTTCAATGGGTTCTGCATATTCCAATTGAGACTTATACTAGCTACATTCTACTTAGGAATAACTCCATACCTATCGTTAGAATTCAGGTGTGTGGTTCGATTTAAGACCCCCCTAACCCCTCTCTGCACCCACTTAACACAGTTGACCAGATAGATAAGTGGCTTCTAGGTTTCAGGAGGCCAATAGCTAATGTTTTCCCTGGCCTTTATGCCTTACGATAGTGATCCTGCGAGGCCAACACCCATCCTCATACTTAGAGGTATTCACCCATCGGCCCAACTCATAGCTATTTGCCTTGCATAGTAGCATAGAGAGGGCCTCACCTGTCACTCCCATTTTATTTTATGCTGTACAAATCACTGAGAGTCCGACACCCCGCCACTTCATTCGTGGCCACAAAATTCCCTCTCAAGCTGCTTGGTAATTAGCAGGGCCTCACCGGTCACCAAAAAATTAACTAATTTATTCGCCACTTGGCATTAGTCAGTCAGCCACTACAGTAGGAGTAGCTGGGGCATCCGACATCCATGCCATTTTATAGTGGGTCCTCTCCTCATTGGGACGGATCAGTGATAGGCTGGAAGCTGGCCTGGGTCACCTCTAGAGGCCTTATCACTTGTCATTCTAATAATTTACTTTGTTATGCAGTGCCCATGTGGTCTTAATTTATATGAACGCAACCACAGGAGCGTTGCATATTCCATTAGAGGAACACATTATGAATATCCTAAAGGTTAGCGAATCACAGCGTACCAGGGCACTACTGACAATGTTACATTTAATCACCAGTTGACTAATATTATATTTGGTCATAACATTCGCATTGTGTTTACACATTGTTATTGGCACTGGTATACTGCTTTCTTTTGGTTCACCTCTGGGGCTAGCCACTCAAGAACCTATATTCCCCCTCAGCATCCCAACAGATAATCTACCAAGGGGCATTAAATCCCAATTGGTTGTTAACCCAGCATATGGCCAGCCATACCTGACTTTGTACTAGGTTGCAGTATTTCTAGGGATGTTGTGTTTCGGTATATCCTACTGTAGAGAGGAGTTCAATTTGTACCTACACAAGCTGGTGGACTGGCGGGAATAAAATCACTTGGCGGGCGTCAGGACACCAGCTTTATCTTCATACCATCTCGCATAGCAAGGTAAACTTGCAGACAACTGTAACTAATCCTACAGCAATAGACGCCCTTATTACACAAGAGCTGCACCATGGTTCCTACTGGGGCCTTTCCGTTCCCCTCTTTTCTTGTTATAAGGGCCAATCCAACAGGGATGATCTCAGGTAACAGTCCTTCAAACAGAGGTTGATTATCTACCTTTCTGCTCTCCGCTCAACAACACCACCTAGCCTTAAGGCCTAATCCCGTTGGTGGAATTCTCCTTCCTATATACTACAATCTACAATCCCCTCCGACTTACGAAGGTGGCAAGAATTCCTCTTACGGTGGGATGGGTAAGTAAGTTCATCCATTAGTCATATGATTCCCTCACAATTTGCACAAGATGCTGCTGCTGCGACGGGGTACACCACAATTTGGTGACCAGTGGTTCTGGGGCAATTGGTCAGACGGTGTTGAGTACATCCCAGGATTTACTACCACTTAAGCCTTATTTTGCGCTTTACCCAGTTGTAGCAGCAGCGGTAGCATGGGGCGCATCATGGGCAGTGAAAACCTGTTAGGGGCTGGACGACCAGCATCTGTGACCATGATCTGCATCTGTAAGTAATTTGATGTGGCTGGCTGCCAACGATAATTTTTATGCTATGTGTCCACATTCCAGTCATTCACATTATTGTCACTGATCACATATCTTGCTCTAGATTGCAGCACTGTTACCTACCCCTACACCAACGTGACAGGACTTGTCAATGGACTAGACAATCTTTCGTTTCACAGTCGACACTTTTTTAAACCTGGCTCTTTCTGTTAATGCTTAGCAATTGTACGTTAGGGCCTTCCACAATTTCAACAGGTTTTGGTAGCATTTATATTGTATACTGATTTTCTAGGGGTAGCTTTCACTTCTTTTGGCCACCTGAACTCATAATTTTCCTTAAACACCATCAATTATAATTGACAAATATACAACATCATATAATCACAATTTGGGCCAAACAATCAGATTCTGGTCATCATACCAAATTCATATAACAGATCTCCACCTACTGGACTAACTATACATAGTCAACTCTTTCAATCACTATCTGACCTACTTGACAACGCACCTTTCGAACTTCACACTAACCACGTAACTAAAGCTGCCATCTATCTAGCATTCTACGGGTTTCTCAATTCACTATGATTATCACTTGCAAGGACTACATAGGCAGGTAACATCTTACAAAGATACAGGACCACAATGTCCTATCCCTCAACATACTTAAACGGCCAAGGAGTCAAATAGTAATATCCTTTATTATCCTAACAAGACATTTTGTTCCCCCGTAACATTCTTCAACACCTACTTGGCCCTGCTCCAGGTACCTCTGATCAACCTCTGTCTTTACACGGCTCCCCTCTCACGTATACCTACATCCAGTTAGATCACTTTACGGCTTTTTGCCCCAAACACAAATGTAAGGCAGGGCCTGTAGTTGTGGGAGGGGCTTGGATTCCCTTCTTAAGGAGCACCAGAACTTTCCTCATTATCGTTATTGGTTCTGGCGATTGCCCCTCCCACCGCTCCCTTTATTAACATCATTATCTAGGGTGGGCCCTCTTTTATTACAGGCCTACCTACTCGTCGGTTCCGGCACACCACAACCAACCTGTTCATATTATTACTTATTGTATAAATTTACTTATGTATACCTACATCTAGTTAGATCACTTTATGGCTTTTTGCCCCGAACACAAATATATATATATATGTTAGGCATGTAATCTCATGTAACTTCCACTCACATCTTATTGAGCTAACTTAGAGCTCTGCTGTTTTGCGCATGGATGGAATTATCTCCGTCTAAGGATATATAGTGATGCAGTCGCCACAGATGCTTCAAATAAGATGTAGTGTGCAGGTATAACGGATTCACCCGCACATAGAAATTTTTATGAGGGTATTTACCGTCCTGACAGGAATAGTTGTGCCCATCTGCAACCATGCACTTGGATACCTGATAAACCCAGCATGTCTAGGGACGCCGGCCGCTACGGATCCATGTCACTTTATAGCCCCATGACCGCCCATGTTGATGACGAATTCACGAGCGCGCACGTTTTAAGATTATGCATCTTCCGATCACGCTCCAGTGAGGGAATTAAGGATGGCACGTTGTCCTTGTAATGGGGATCCAGCAGGGTGGCCACCCAGTAATCCGCACAAGTTAGAATGTGGGCAACTCGGCAGTCGTTGCACACGCACTTTGGTGACTCTAGATAACCCTGGGCCGATCGCACGTCCCCTTGACGACACATTCGGATGTCTGCCCTATCAACTTTCGATGGTACTTTCTGCGCCTACCATGGTGACCACGGGTAACTGGGAATCAGGGTTCGATTCCAGAGAGGGAGCCTGAGAAACGGCTACCACGTCCAAGAAAGGCAGCAGGTGCGCAAATTACCCACTCCCGACGCGGGGAGGTAGTGATGAAAAATAACAATACAGGACTCTTTCGAGGCCCTGTAATTGGAATGAGTACACTTTAAATCTTTTAACGAGGATCTATTGGAGGGCAAGTCTGGTGCAGAGCGACTGACCCGTGCGTACTGCAGCTGAAACTCCACTATCGCCTGCTGCTGCTCACACAATCTCTCCAGCATATGAGGCGATGAGCGGGAAGGCCAAAGTTACGCTGCAGCGCAGACAGGCGAGCAGCAGCAGGGTGAGAACGCCGAAAGCGTGCACAGACGGCCCGCACTTTCTGCAGCAGCTCTGATATATCTAGGTAGTTTTTCAGGAATTTCTGCACCACCAAATTCAGCACATGCGGCAGGCAAGGGATGTGCATCAAACCGGCTAGGCCCAGAGCTTCTACGAGATTTCGCACACCATTAGGCCGGGCTTGAGGCTCAGTGGCAACAACCACTCATCGGTCTGTTGTTCCATGCCCGTCCACAGCTCCTGCGTGGTGTGGGGTTTTTCTCCCAAACATATGAGTTTTAAAACAACCTGCTGTCATTTCCCCCTGGCTGTGCTGAAGTTGGTGGTGAAAGTGTTACGCTGACCGGATGAGGAGGTGGTAGAGGAGGAGGAAACGGAGTAGGAGGAGGAGGCAACAGGAGGCAAAGAGAAATGCCCTGCAATCCTCGGTGGCAGAAGGACATGCGCCAAACTGCTATCCGCCTCAGGCCCATGTAACCGCTAATAGTCAACAATTAAGTTCACTGACAGTAAGGTCACACAACAGTGTGACAGGCATATTTAATACAGTTAATTCACTGTCTCAAAAAAGTGTGATTTTTTTTTAAACCAACAATGTAAGAGTAGTATTTAAGGGTTTTATTGGACTGCAAGAAATGCACCGCAGGCCGCAAATGTTCTATTTAGCACAAAAAAGTGTGATTTTTTTTAAACCAACAATATAACAGTAGTATTTAAGGGTTTTATTGGACTGCAAGAAATGCACCGCAGGCCGCAAATGTACTATTTAGCACCAAAGAAATGTGAATTTTTCAAAGTGCGATGTAACCACAGTATTTGACAGTTCTATTTGATTCTCAGATATGAAGTGCATGCCACAAATTTACTTTTTATCACCCAAAAAATTTAAATTTTTCAAAGTGCGATGTAACCACAGTATTTGACGTTTCTATTTGACTCTTTGATATGAAGTGCACGCCACAAATTTACTTTTTAGCACCCAAAAAATGTAAATTTTTCAAAGTGCAATGTAGCCACAGTATTTGACGGTTCTATTTGACTCTCAGATATGAAGTACACGCCACAAATTAACTTTTTAGCACCAAAGAAAATTTAATTTGTAAAACTGCAATGTCACAGCAGTATTTAAAAATGCCTAGATGTTGCCCACTGAGCTACCAGAACAGAATTAAAGTAATGTGCCTGGCACACATGCAGTTGCAAGTGCCCACCTAACAAACAGACTGATTGCTAATTTCTCTGTGGCACTGGGCTCAGGGCAGGGTACAAAAATGTAGTATAGCACCCACAAAAATAATGTAGTTTGCAGATTCAACACCAGAATTCTTTCCTAATCTGTCCCTCACAGCTGCCGCATCCTCTACCTACAATAATAAGAGCTCATGTGACTCCAGCTTATATAGAGGCTGGGTCACATGCTGCACTGGCCAATGGCTTCTAAGGGCACACAAGTCAAACTTTTGTTGATTGGCTGCCCTGCAGCTTTTCAAAATGCGCCATTAAATCGCCGAACACCGAACTCGAACCCGAACTGTTACTGAAATGTCCGGGTTTGGGTTCGGGGTCCAAAATCTCTACAGTTCGGGTTCACTCATCTCTAATCGCTGCCTTTAAAAAAGGATTATCCGAGAATATACTTGAAGAAATTGCTGCCAAAGATCTACCGAAAAAAAATTAAACAAATTTATTACCTTTGTGATGCAGATTGATAATAGACTTAGGACCAGAGAAATTACTAGAAGCAGAACCAGACGTATGACCTTGTCACTAGCACCCCGATTCTCCAAACCTGTTGTCCCTGACCTCCTGATGCGATCTGAATCCGAACCTATGCAACAAGGGGTTACCAGATTGTCAGAGGCAGAGAAACAGTATAGGAAAAGAGAGGGTCTATGCTTATATTGTAGCAAAAAAGGAGAGATACTTGTCCTATACTTCCACACACCTAAGAACCTTAAGGGGACAGGTTTAGGTGTAATGGATACGTCCTCTAGTAATAACCAAAGTAGATTTCTCTTTGACATTGTCGCCCTTTGCAACAAGAAAAACTTTTCATGCAAAGCCCTGGTAGACTTACATTTCAGATAATCGCTTCCCCTTCATGTCCCATCATATTAGGGTTCCCTTGGCTCATCAAGCACAACCCTCATATTGAGATAGAGGTAAGGGCTGCGCTAAGAAAGCCTATATAAGTAGACTAAAAGTAATAGAGACCAAAACAAAAATGGTCTAAAATGATAAGTCACCAACAGATAAATCTATATATATATATATAGGAGACAGTGAGGGAAAATCTCACTTTAAACAACAGAATCGAAATAAAATGCAAATTAAGTGAACAGAATTAAGATAAATCAGTCCAGATAATGAAATGTGATGGAGGTAAAAGTCTCACTAATACGTAGAGTAAGGTAATGGTACAGTCCTCAGGAGTTGATCCTTCCGGATTGATAAAATTTCTGTATATGTGGAGACAAAGAAAGGGAGAGTACGACAAGCAGCCAATAGCTTAATATTGTAAAATCCAATGGTAAAATAGATAAAAGGAAAGTAATACACTCACATTTGTGAGAGCTATTAACCAGCTCTGGGATGATGGGCTTGTAGCGGTATAATCCCCGCTAGAGGATATATGGGAGAGGTACGTCTGTTGCTCCGGCTTGGTAGAATCAGTGCTCTAAAATAAAAGTAAAAGACAGCAATAGTGCTCTCTGTATATAGGAATAAGGAAATAAAATATATATAAAATATACTCATAAGAGTAGAGCAGGAAGTACTGCTCTATCAATACAGCATTGGTGGAATGATCCCCACCTAGGATTTCTTGAGTCAGGATACAAAAGGTGCCAGGAAGAGAAATTATAAAAAAGTGCATATAAAATCTAATAAAATGAAAATTGGTCCTTATAAAAGGGATAACCAAAAGACTTTTATTGTATAAAATGCACAATTAAAACCATTAACGCGTTTCACCTTTAAGGCTTTATCAAAATGGAATATGACATTAATCCTCGCACAGAGAGTTTTATATAAGGATATGTAAATTTAAAATTGGCGCCAAAACTTGGATCAGCCAATAGAGACAGATTTTCAAAAAACATGTATAAAACAGACAATAACACATATAGCTTAATAGACTAACCGAATATGAGCTAGATATTGTAATTATATATTAAAAACGAGATCTGTGTAGTGAAATATTAGTAATAGAAATTGCGTCACGTGACCGGCATTATTTGGAGCTAAGCTCCATGGGTAATGTAGTTTCGCCAGTCGACGCAAGCCGGCAAAAGAGGGGTGGGGTTGGGGAGTGTGACGAGCAGCTCGCTCACACCAGTAGTCGATAAGACTACAAATACAAGGGGAGGGGCTAGGAGGGAAGCGACAGACAGTGAAAATATGCTGCTCTGAAACCGACGGCGGCACTGTTTATTCATGCCATCGGAAACATCATGTTACAGGGGTAAAGTGAAAAACCCACTACCCTAACTAAAAAAATTGAAAAAATCAAATCATGCATATATAAGATAACAAAATACATGTAAACATATCACTTGAGAGTATACATAAACTAATCATATATAGAAGAATAAAAATTGTACAGAACCTATATAAGAGAGAGGTAAAAAGAGTGTCCTTTATATGGGGGTAACATTACATTATATAAATTAAAAAGAGATAGATAAAGGAATTCCGTAAAAACAGTATAGCAATAAAAAAATATATATATAGCAATAAAAAAGATTATAAAAAATTGTGCAGATCAAAGTCTGCATGTAAACCATGAGTTATGAGGGTCTGTAGCTTTTAGACCCATTCCATTTCTACTTTTCCTAGGACATTCTTGATATCTCCTCCCCTCCAAGATAAAATAAAAAAATTTATTCCCGTACATTTAAGCATTTTTGGATTTTTATTGTGATTAATAAAATGTTTGGATACAGAATGGTTTAGGTATCCATTTTTAATGTTTCTGCAATGTTCGCTTAATCTGGTTTTTAAGCGCCTTGTGATCATTCCAACATACTGGAAGCCATATGGGCATTCAAGCAGATAGATCAAAATTTTCGTATTGCAGCTTATAAATTCTCTAATATTTAGATCCATCTTAACCACTAACTTTACTAAAACAATCCCACCCAAAAATACATATTTTTTTCCCCATGTCAAAGGTTTCCATAAATGTAAATCATGTATTGTATGTAGAACTACTGATCTCACAATACCGTCCAAGATAACACAATTTACCTCAAATAGGACTAAAATTACCTATAATATTAGAGAATGTATAAGCTGCAATACAAAAATGTTATCTATCTGCTTGAATGCCCATGTGGCTTCCAGTATGTTGGAATGACCACAAGGCGCTTAAAAGCTATATTAAGCGAACATTGCAGAAATATTAAAAATGGATACCTAAACCATTCTGTACAGGGCCGCCATGAGGGGGTGACAACCGTGACTTTTGTCACGGGCCCTGCGGCCCTGGGGGGCCCGGACTGCTCTGGCAGTCCTGGGCCCCACTTTCTTACTCTGCACACATAGATAGCGAATATCGCTATCTATGTGTGCAGCCGCGGGCCCCCGGCTCCCTGTTACCGCAGAGGGGGCCCAGGCAGCACACAGCTTCTCCTCTCTTCTTATAACTCTCACGAGACCCGCGGAGCGTTGCCATGGTAACTGGGTCTCGCAAGAGTTATTAGAAGAGAGAAGAGAGGAGAAGCTGTGTGCTGCCTGGACCCCCTCTGCGGTAACAGGGAGCCGTGGGGCCCCCCAACCGACCACAACGGATGGAATCTCCCCCCTCCCTGGACACAGGTAAACAGGGAGGGGGAGAAACATTTAAATAATTTAATAAAAAATTTATGTGAATATGCCCCTTCCTCCCCCTCCCCCCCAGATCAC